TCAATTCCAGACATTAAATCAAAATGAAAATTCGAATCCACATTATCATTGTTATCAGTAAAATAAATTAATATTTCACCGAGTGTTTTACATTGTGTGTGGTAGAATGTACAAGGTGGTCCAAAAGAAGTCATCCGATGTTGTTTGGCTCTTATTTTTTTTTGTTTAAGTGATGAACTCCGATTCTGTTTTTTTTATTTATGTTTACCGGTTCAACAGGTATGGAAAGGTTGAAAAAACATCATCAAAAAACAGAATCAAAAAGTTTTTTATTTAGAAAAAAATATTTTTCTGGTGTTGAGTAGATTAGATACTATTCAGATCTCATTCTGTAGCTAAACAGAAATAGTTATTCCACGCATAAAGAGAAAACAAACATTCTTGTAATTTTCTACTACTCTGGAAGATGACAAATTTCTATGCAAACTTCTATTTTGGGTCAAATATCTCGATATCTGTTAATTTCAGCTCGGTTCAAGGTGATGCATTTTTCCAACATAATGGAAAAGACCATTGAGAGAAGAAATCCGTGCAAAGATCTTTCAATCGACGAATCATGATTTACGTTTGATGTATAATCAATATTATGAGTTAAAGTTGAAGGGAATCGAATCTATATCGTTTTGAAATCAGCATATTTCATTCGATATTTCAAACAGCCAAATATGATGATGGATTCGTGACGTATTAGTCCCGAACTGTAGCTATCTCTGTCTGATACCTCGTCATTCTGCAGTGTTGCAGTGTGATTGGTCAGTTCAAGGACAATAGGCGTGTTGGGAATAAGACGTCGCACCAGTCACAGCAATGAATTGACAAAATTTCAAATGGCGCAGGAATTGTGTGTTTTGAAATGGACATATTCTAATTTATTATTTTCATCGTCTTAGCATGAATGACAAAATTCAAAATTAATTCGCTGGTAGTTTTTCAGTATAGAGTTCACGATAATGTGATTTTAAAAAATCAGTGGACTCCCCCAGTAATAATCGAAATTTCATTAGTGGCGTAGAAAATATGGGAGGAAAAGTTATCACAACCCCCTGTAGCGCACCTCTGGATGAAATTCTCAGAATGTCATTCTGATCAAAAACTGAACCATTGAAAGATGAAACCATATACCGAATTTGAATGCATTATACTCAAATTTATGAGATATTGCGAAGAAACGATTTCAATTACTTAGCTTCAACGTCCCTATCTCAGTGATTATGAAATCACGAGGGCTATCACCTGTCAAGCGTTGTCGGACAAAACCTTCAAATTTGATTTGCATTCCCTCTCCATCAAGGGGGGAAACTGGGACCAACAAAAGACTTATTAGGCCCATGTCTTCTGATGATTTCTATGCTTGAAAGTACTTCTTCACAGTACTAGTTCTGTGAAATGATACCATGAATGCACGATATATATAGGTTATGCAAGTATGTAGATATTTGCATAGATTATTAGACACCATGATCGTTCATTCTAATATTCCAAATCAACGGTGCGTGAAAACAGGTGATAAAGTCAGACTCGTTATTATAATGTTCGGAACACCATTAGACACGGTCATCAAGAGCTATTACGTTGGTCACTACCCAAAAAAGATAAGATTCAAAACAGGAATTATTACGATTCTGACGTACAAATACAAATGTTCTAAGGAACAAATTCCTGATATCTTCATAATCCAGTCACTCAGTACATTTCACCCTGCATGGTTAGGGGTAGTATGTTTCTTTTTTTCATTGTTTGAGATACTTCAAACATGCCAAATCCATATTACGTTTAAACGGCAAAAAATTTGCACTTTTTGCAGATTTCGCCATTTTTGACCATGAAGAAGTACTTTTCCATCAAAGTCAATTCCAATCATTCCTGAAGAACAAAAAATTTCCTGAATATTGAGCTGAATATGATTACTGCAGGACTGATAGTTTACGAGATACAGCTTTTTAAGGGTGTCATTTTATCAGTAATAGACACACATATTGGTTGAAAGAAGAAGTAAAGAAAGAAAGTATAGTTATAATATTAGTTTTTATTATTGCTAATTAGGTACATTTCAGTTTTGTTCAATGCTCTTAGAAGGTCCATACTTTTCCTGGACCAGTTTTTGCTCTTGAGGGCTCCGAGGATTCATTCAATTCATCGTCATTTAGTAAGTCGATATCAGAATCGATATCAGAAGTTTCCATGATAATCTTCGTTTGATTCTCATATGACTGTCCCTTGCATTGACCGCAAACAATAGAGCATCTCAAGCCTGCTTTTCTCTGCAGCTACATGCATTCCCACAACCTTTTTTTACAGTTACAGGAAATCGTCTGCATGAGGTGTGAAGGAGCCACATCTCTTGACATTATCACTGATGGGGAGAGGTCATATTCTATTAGAGTCCATCCCGATTCAAGTGGACTGATGTCCATACCCATCTATCTCTGTACTTAGTGATAAGTAATAAGTGAGTGCTAGCTGATCAGGGTCTTGAGTTGGAGACAGCCTGACAAGGTTAAATTTTTTTCATCAGCCTTAGTGAAGAGCTGATAACCCAGTTCATTGAGGGTTTGTGTATTTTCCGCCATATATTGCGATGATGGTTTGTTCTCCTGCTTTAGTTATTTCATCAAGCGTTGGGCTTGGTGAAAACCGTTAATTTCTCCTTCAGATCGAGATCCTTTTGAATAGTTTGGAGAAACTTGACTTTAACTTGGCCAAAGAAGGAGGACGTGGAATCACATATACTGAAGGTTTGGATGAAAATAATGAGATGGTGGTCTGAAAATATTAGGGTGTTTGAAAAGAAGAAATCTGTTGTTTTTCCACATTTGAAGGAACCTCGGAAGAAACAGTTCTCGAAATACAGATTTTCAAGTTCGGAAAAACCTCAGCCCCCAAGAGTAAGAACTGGAGGAAGAAGTATTTTGAACCAGGACCTTCTGAGAGCGTTAAACAAAACTGAAATGTGCTCAATTATAAATAATACAGAATAATGTTATACCTACCAACTTTCTTTCTTTACTTTTTCTTATAATCCCTATATTTTTGTCTTTGTTTCTCATTTTGAAAACATGTTTTTCTTGAACTATCAGGTCTACAGTAATTATATTTAGCTCAATATTTAGGAAAGAAAACCGCACGTTTTATAGGGGAAATTGGCCTCCTGTCAAATTTGCTGAATTTTTTCATATGTTATAGTCCAAGGCATTCTGAACGAAACATCCAAATACCAAACTGTACTATTGGCTATTCTTAGCGCTAGAAGGCTCTGAAGTCTCCATCTTTATTTTTATTATTATTTTTCGATAGGCTTAGTCATTACAAAAAGTATTCTTCAATATTGTTGCTGCTGGTCAACACATATATACAGCAATTATGGTATGGGCTCGGGTATGGGTGAGATAAAATATGACACTATTCAAGAATTCAATCAAATAAGATATAGTTAGGTATCGCCGAGGGTATCGCCTTGGGTATCGCATTTCATTTATGAGTCAGTTTTTTCTCGTTTATTGTTCACCCTATATATAGAGAGGAGATATACAACATTATTAACTTCTATAACAGAAGCAGAACTATATAGGTATTTATTGGCATCCTAAGATAAATATTCCTTGTAACTTCGGCAAAGTATATACAATGCAGACTCGATAATCCGAACGTTCAATAATCCGAATTCTTCAGTAGTCCGAACAAGCATTTTTAATACATTGAGTACTCTATAATCCGAATTTCATAGTACTCGATAATCCGAACCTATACCTTTAGGCCTATTTATTTCCTATAGAAATTGTGAGTGAAATGTTCAGGGATTCCCCTAATTGTTCTTTTGTTAGTATCTGGGATTCACATTACGCAAGGAAGAAAATAATATTCCGTTAAATGATATTCTTCTACTTCAAAGATTAAAAGAAATGGCCTTTATAAATAATCAAAGATGTGTTAAGCAAACAAAAATTACAAATTACTTTAGAAACTAGTATTATATTCTTACTTTTATGCATATTTTAGTGTTACTTTTTCGTATTTGTGTTTTTTTTGCATTTCGTAGTGAAAAATTTAAAAAAAAACTGCTTCGGTAATCCGAATTTTTTGGTAATCCGAATCGCCTTGGTTTTTATTAGTTCGGATTATCGAGTCTGCACTGTAGTATATTTTTTCAAATGCATGCGTCACTATATTCCACATATCACACCGTAGAAAAAATAGTGACGCATGCATTTGAAAAAATATACTATAATCAGAATTCATTTCTGAAGTTACGAGGAATTTTAATCTATAGAAGCTACAATGAATACCGATATTACTGATTTCTGCAACTGTTATAGAAAAATGTGATAAGGTTGTATATATCCTCTTTATATACAGGGTGAACATTAAATGAAAGCTGACCCATAATTGAAATGCGACACTCAACAATATCTATTTTTTAATGAATTATTGAATAGTATCACATTTCATCTCACCCACACGGTTAATTGTTGACCAACAGCAACAATGTTGACGAAAACTTCTTGTAGCGTCTTATCCTATCAAAAAAGAATATAATAGTAGCTCAAACAGCATTATTTATCAGGCGAGAAGAAATCAAGATTGAGACTTCAGCGACCTCTAGTGCAAAACCTAGCCATTAGAACAGTTTGGTATTTGGACATTTTAATCAAAATGCCTTGGATTATAACATATCGAAAATCCAGCCAATTCGACAGTAGGCCAATTTTTTCTATAAAACGTGCAGTGTCCTTTCATATGTACTTCAGAAATGGAGAGAATTGTCTTTGTTGAAGAAGTTAAAAATGGCGGGATCTGAAAAAGTGCAAATTTATAGTCGTTCAAACGTTATATGGCGGTGATCCGGATGGTAGTTGTGGTCGAAAAATTGAATTTGGCATCTCCGTACTATCCCAAACCATGTATTAGGTGGACCTCTTTTTGATGACATCAAGGTTACTGGATTATTAGTAAAGAGTTTCGACATGAACTGAACTGATTTTTGTAGAGAAAGCAGTACTCACGTATATCCAGCCAAAACATTCATCAACATCGTCTTTCCAGACCCAGATGGACCCATGATTGCGGTCAATTCTCCACCTGAAAATTCTCCGCTAATATCATCCAATATTTTCCGAGGTTCTGAAACAAAAAAAAAACAATTTGCAGGTTGGTTCTATCGATAGAAGTGATAGATAAATGGTATCATCTGAAGAAGACATTTTTCTACGAACACTGATATACAGTGTCATAAATCAAAAATTCACATTCTTGAAAAACACCTTGTAAATCTGCACTCTGCTAGATATCGATATGCGATTTTCACGTCATATGAATTGATCAACAGGTACAGACATCAGTTTTTTTCTACCTTATACGGGAATAAGACTTTCCCTTTAAAAGTGCCCAATTTGACCCACCCTGTACATACAGCAGTGAATATTGTGAATTGGCATAATGCATGATAAAACGAAGGATTAAGGAGCTATTGAAAAGCAGCATGTAAATCGAGCAGACGTACAGAATTATCACTGGAAAAAAGAGTATACATCAGCCTTGAATATCAATAGGACTAGTTGCACGATAAGGTTTTTCGTCAGAAGCCAAAATTTAACGCTTCGAAACATACTATATTCCAGATAATTATAATATCAGTTTGAGTCCATGACATCAATCCAAATTGCAGCATTTTCCCCTCGGTTTTCCCTCTAGGAAGGTCTTTCATGCACCAATTTTGAATATAGACAGTCCTTAATAGCAGGCAGCAGGAATCTTCATTATTTTTCGGGACATACAGATATACAAATCTAACAACCAATCATCATATTGACCTAGAGTTCATTGTTCATTGAGTCCACTTAATCAGTGTGAGATCTGAGAAGCGTCTAATCAGAATTAAAGCTCAATGTGAGACAACATTCGATGGATAGTGAGACCAGAGTTATAATGGAAACGTGTTGAAAGTATTTCAATGGATAAAATCTCGGATAAACTCATTTGAGATTCTCAGTGGAAAATCTTGTTGTTCAATTTTTATTCGACAAAAAAATGGAAATCATTCATCTGACCTAATCCTCAAAATCGCGTTTAGTCCTGCTGGCTATCTGATAAAGCTGATGAAAGCTTGTTCATTTCGTAAAGATAGGTATTCTCTCGAAACTCCGGGAATTCCTCGGGGAATTCTTTGGGTAATCCTAGGAATGCCTTGGGTAGTCCCAGGAATCCCCGCAATCTGAAAAATCCATAAAAATATGGTGTTTGTGCAGCCCAAGATATTTCATTGGCCATATTAAGTATATGTCGTTGTCTGGAGTCGAGTATTGAAGCAACATTCGAAATTAGAATTTTTATTTTAGTTACATTAATATATACCGAGGGGTAAATGTAAATCACGTGGGAAGTCCAGTGTACCCGAAATGGAAATTCCTCGGGAGGTTCGGGTAGTTTGGGAATTCCAGGAACTCCTTGGGAAGTCCGGGAATTCATTGGGAAGTCCGGGTGTTCCTTAGGGAGTCCGGGAGTTCTTTGGGTAGTCCAGGTTGTCTCTGGAAAAACTGTGAATTCTTTGAGAAGTCTGGGAATTCCGGGTATTCTTTAGGAAGACCGGGAATTCTTTGGGCAGTCCCAGAAATTCCTTGGGTAGTCCCAGGAATTCCGGGAATTCATTCGACACAGGAAGTCTAGTTATACCCGAAGTTGACTCGTGATTTACCCCACGATATATATAAATACAATCATTGATGTAGAACCAAAATAAAACTGGTCCCAGAAACACGGTGAAGTAGGTACACATTCATTTTCTTGATTGTGTGACCAATGTAACAAAAAGACGATGGATGATATTTTTGAGAAAGGTACCGTACCAGACAGGTACGATCTGGGGTACGATACGTAATAATTCATATCACGATAAGAGAAACTTTTACTTTTGTGTCGAATCAGCCACTACGTTTTTAATTGACTAGTTTCAAATGACTGGTTATTGTTTTTGTCGAAATCATTTTCAGATTTCCATGAAAAAAATCAAAATTCAGAACCTTTGGAATACAAATTAATGTTTAGAATTCCTCCGAAAACAAAATAGTAATTAGACAGTGATAAAATAGAGATAATAATTATGGAATACGAACGTGACGTTAACTATAATACCAAAAACATGAACACAACCTCAAGACTAATAAAGATGAGTACGAGGATAAGTACGATAATATTCAATCGTATTAGATATGTATCAATGCTATTATGATGAATCGATAGTCGACTATATATAGTTCACTCCTAGCCTTTTGCACAGGGAGAAATGGGCAATATATGTATATAACTTCGTTTTATAAAATGACTTTTTAGATGTTCTAGAAAAGCTTATTATAGAGATAGTTCCGACAAATTTCGTTCGAACAGTAGCACTACATGAGAACAAGAATAACACAGGATACACCAGCCTGGTGATGCCACACTCACTAGTTCCATGACATTATAACAAGAACTTATAACTTCCAAAACGTTTAATGTCTACCTTCTTTCCCTATCCTTCCTGAGGAACACCGTGCGTTATAGCACAGGGATATCATTTTCGAGATCATGTTATGCGCCCAAAATGAGATAATGATCGGAATTCAAAATATCTTTCTTTTTTTTCTGTTGAATATTCAGAATGATATTATGTGCAATATGAAGGAGAATGTGAAGTCCTCGGTGAAGTCCCTACTTCAGAAGATTTTGTTTTCAAATTCTTATCGTGTGTGTTCAATAGATGTAATTCAATATTCGTCGTGGCATATAGCCAGGAAAGTAGTTGTATTCTGTTGAATAAACCGAGAAAGAATTTATATTATCATCACATGGAGAATTTGAATTCTCGATGTATATCTTTCTGTGTTCTTGAATATATCTTGAAATATTCCTTTTCAATTCAAAATATCATTTCAAAATAATGCAATAACAAAAAAATTTGGAATGACTAGGGAATAGGGATACTCAATAATAGATTTCTTCTGATTAAACTGGGTACTCTTATTTCGTAACATGTAATACCCGGTAATAGGTACCTTGTGCATTATACCTACTAAGAGAATATGTATATGAATTGATCATTTTCCATAAATAAGTAATTAATTGGGGAAAATAATTGAGCGCACGGTTTATTAGTCCACAATGTAGGAATATATATAATTTTTAGCCAAACTATCCATTTCTGAGGAGTCTCCTGAAGCAGGTCGATTTGAATTTTCAATTTGCCACAATATTGAGGAAAAATTGAATATACAGGGTAATCCACGTTTGAGTAATGCCGACCGCGAACATTTGTTTAAATAGAACACCCTCGAGAACACCTTTATAAATATCTTATTCAATTTTTCATTCTTGAAAAGCTCAAAAAATTGGAGAATTCATCACAAACAGACTTTGTAATGTTTGTATATAAGTAGGTAAATACGTCCGGTCAACTGAGTGCTTTCGTGCATTCGTGAAGTGTAAGTTCGTCAAAAATTAAATGAAGAATTTTCTTTCTTCAAAAATTCTTCACCTAATTTTTGACAAACTCACACTTGACGAAATCACCTAATATTCAATTGATACATATACAGAATAATTCGTGTAGGAGAAATTAAGTCATCGGTATTTTCTTAATGGCAACCCTATTTTACGATATCACCGAATTTAACGGACGCACTGTATACAAACCCTATGTGTTATTGAGTAATGAATTCAACTTCCTAAGGAAATTTGAAAAATTCAATAATATATAGCGTTCCATTTGACGAAATTGTCGCGAACGTCATAACTCAAACGGGGATCTCCAGGTATATCTAATTTTTTTCCCAGAAATGTGGAAAATTGTGGAGTTAAATAGATCTGTTTCAGGGGGTTCTTCAAAAATGGATAGTTTGGCTGAAAATTAATGTATTCAGTACTTTACGAAAGCACTGTATATTCATGTTCATTATATTCTCAAGATTTTGAGAGTTGGCCAATTTTCATACTTAAGAAGCTAGCAAAGCCACTTTCGATTTTCAACATGAGACACATCTCATAATTTTAGGCTGATTTTAGGCTAATTTATTACCCCATTCCCGAATTTTTTGCTCCTCCCTATCATAGAAAAATCTGTGGCTTTGCTAGCTTCGGCCGAACTCAGCAAAGCCATTTTTGAAAAACAATATTTTTTGAATAACTGATATATTGAGAATGTAGTGCTCATTTTAGGCTAATTTATTACCCTATTCCCAAGTTTCTTGCTCCTCTCTATCATAGAAAAATCTGTGGCTTTGCTAGCTTCGGCCGAACTCAGCAGAGCCATTTTTGAAAACATAGATTTTACACTGATTTGATATATTGAGATTAAAAGGCTAATTTTAGGCTAATTAATTACCCTATTTTCGTATTTTTTGCACAACGTTTCAAACAGAAAAAATACAAGACAATTTGTCGAAATATGCGTCATTCACTGTACATTATGTATTTCTATCAAAAGCATATTTTATGAAGATTTCATGGGGCAAAGTGTTCGTATTGATTGTAATTTTTAAAAGAAACCTGTGGCTTTGCTGGCTTCGGGCGAACTCAGCAGAGCCATTTTTTGAAATAATATATTTTTCACTGATTTGATATATCCATATTGAAGAGCTAATTCAAGGCTAATTAATTACCCTATTTTTAAATTTTTTGCTCGATGTTTCAAGCAGAAAAAAACCGAAACGATTCGTCGAAATACACGTTTATTCACTATACATTATGCATATCTATCAAAAGCATATTTTATGTCGATTTTTCAAGACAAAGTGTTAGTATCGATTATAAGCTCAATAACTATTGCATTTTGAAATTTTTTGCTGCATATTTTTTAAAACAAACCTGTGGCTTTGCTGGCTTCGGGCGAACTCAGCAGAGCCATTTTTAAAAATAATATATTTTTCACAGATTTGATATATCGATTTCGAAGAGCTAATTATAGGCTAATTAATTACCCTATTTTCGAATTTTTTGCTCAACGTTTCAAACAGAAAAAATACAAGACAATTCGTCAAAATACGCGTTTATTCACTATACATCATGCATATCTATCAAAAGCATCTTTAATGACGATTTTTGAAGACAAAGTGTTAGTATTGATTATAAGCTCAATAACTATTGCATTTTGA